ATGAATGTATTTGGCAAAGGTACTGTAGTGTCGCTAAGGTAGCGTTCAGACTTCGTCAGGTCGCTCGACGAGCTTTACTGCGTTACTATTGCAATAGCGCCTCAGTGCTATGAAGTGGTATGCAACCAACGGCGCCGGCCGCTCATGTTTTGAGAGAGAGTATAGTAGATTAAGGAGGTGCGCATGAGAGAGTATGGTGGAGGAGCATTGACTGATCACACTGTCTAGTACCCTCCTAATCTTCTGTATATTCTCCCTACACACAAGCGGCTGGTGCCGATGGCGTCGCTCACGTCTACACCACTGCAGCGCGGTCGCAATCTTGCGTCGGCGCGGCTCACCGCGAAGTAACGCCGTTGTCTGAAAATATTGCGATCTAAGACAGCGTTCAGACTTCGCGACGGCAGCGCTTCGGTCGCGCGTTCGACGCGATCGATGCAGTCGAAAGCATGCGCATCGATCGCGCCGAACGCGCGACCGAGGCGCTGCCGTCGCGAAGTCTGAACCCTGCCTAATGGTAAGTTGGTCGTTTTTTATTGGGAATGCGCCGGCAATTCGCACCTCTTCTTGCACGATCTGCATTGAATGGATGTAAGTAGAGAAATCCACGTTGCGGGATATTTCCCTGCAATTTGACTCGATGTAATACAGCTTTCTGCGCGCTATATCATTTTGGTCCTGGTGCGAATTACGCGCGTGCTCGACGCGGGCGACATGTTCCAGCGGTTAATTTCAACCTCCTCGGGAAGCCTTAGTGTGGGTGAAATAGAATATAATAATTACCTAGCGCTACAATGTGAGTAGTTTTGTTTGTCGAACTTTTCCCTATAAAATTGTTGAGCAGGCGATCAGTTTATCAAAAAATCTCGAAAATTGAAGCCAAAATTGTTGACCAAAATCTTCCCCAACTTGTATGTTGGAAAACGACATGGCTGGTTGTTATCTAGAACAGGCTTCAAGCGCCCTGAAGGCAGTGGGTGTGTTGGCAAAGAAAGCGAACAGCAGTTCCATCAGCGGCGTTGTAATTGTTGCCTTTCCTACGGAAGCGCGTTCATACTTCGCGATCCGATCGCCTGAACCACTCTGTCGGGTCGCTCGAGCGAATGATTCGCGCGATTCGATCGCTTGAGCAAATTTCTGCCCGCAGCGGCAAACTTCAAATTAGGCCGCTTTCACACAGTACATGGACGAGGCCCAGTTCGAATTCTGCAGTTGAGGCGGTGCACCAGTCGGCGGTGGAGCGCTCCACGCGTGGTCGCGCGATCCAAGCGATCGCATCGCGAAGTATGAATGCGCTCTCAGCCAGAGTCGAACTCACTTTTTTGGGCAAATTCTGACAGTAAACCTCATTTCATAACTTTTCTCATTACGAGCATAATTCAGGTCGCCAAAGAAACTGACCAGGAGATTCCTGATTGGCTCGATCAAATGTGCAACCGGGATAGCTTTGCTCGTGCTGGATTTGACTCGAGGTCTACTTTCGGTGCAAAAGGTTTTGGTTCGAGTTCTGGATTCGGTGCCACTGGCTTTGGATCCGGAGGATTTGGAGCTGGGGGATTCAAAGACGGTAAGAGTTACCGTCGATTACTTTTTTTCCTATCAAATTTCTTCTATTTTCGGGTTAGCATGAGGTCAGACCTAAGACTACTTTGGTTTCCATGGGACTAGTTTCGGGGTCGAGTAGCAACAGCGTTTTATAGAT